GCTCCCCACGTTTCGTCCCCTCCATGGGGATTCCTTGATTCCCAATTTATCTCTCCATGATTTAGGTCCCCCATAACCAGCAGCTTCGCTCTCATTCTGTGAGCGAATGTTGCTGCCTTCTGCAGTTCATCTGTTCATGCCTTGTTGTTGTCATCATACTCCTGCCTGGGTCTTCTACTGTTTGGTGGGGGACTGTAGATTACCAAGATCACAATCTTCCTCCCATCTGCTGTCAGAGTTCCATGTATGGAGCTTGTGCTCTCATTGGTACCCCGATTTCCCAGGTCTTCAAAATTCCATTTCTGCTTTATTAGGAGTGCCACTCCCCCTCCCTGTCTCTGTGTCCTCTTTTCTTATCACTTGATAGCCCGCTGGAAAGATTACATCCGAGATCATGCCGTTTATTTAATTCTTACTATTGCAACTATGTCAGGATCTGCCTCACTAACTCTTTCTTCTATCTCTTCTGCTTTATTAGATATCTCATCAGCATTGGTGTACTAAACCTTGAGATTCTTCATGGAAACTCTGGTACCAGAGTTCGCCCTTTCTCTGGGGGTCTGGAGGGATCTGGGGGGGGGGGTGATGTATGAGGGGGATGAATGCGGGGATCCGGGGGGTGTCTGGGAGGATCAGGGGGAAGGGGTGTCTGAGGGGGATGAATGGGGGCTGGGGGGATCTCGCGTGGTGTCTGGGTGGGGAATGGGGTCTGGAGGGGTCCTTGGGGGTGAATGGGGTTGGGCATCTAGGAAGGTAGGTAGGAAGGTCTGGGGTAGGGCCTGGGTAGGTAGGTCTGGAGAAGGAAGGGCATACTGGGTGTGAAGATTAGGGAGGATCCATGGGGGCATAGGGGGGTTGAGAAGTACCGTGAGGTCGAGAGTCAGATAGAGGTTGAAAAGTTGGGGGGGGGGGGAGAAGGATAGAGGGGGTGGGGGAAGAGGTTAGGATGGAACATGGATAGTGAGAGTGGGAGGGAGGTTGTATTAATCAGGGGGAACTCAGGGGAAGGTGTGGGCATTGGGGCAGAAAGGGAAAGAAGTAAATGGAGGAAGAGGTGGGGGGGGGGGTCCCCCCGTCCCCCACGGGGGGTCCATGTGACCCCCTAGCAAGGGTAGGGGGTCACATGGAAGAAGAGGAGCTGAGGAGTGGTGAAGACATTTGCCCTCTTCCAGCAATTGGGCAATTCTCCCAACATAAGTGATTCATTAAAAATCCTTGCCAGAGGCACGCTGAGGGCCTGCGCGGCCTCTTTTAGTATCCACAGTGATACTATGTCTGGTCCAACCGCTTCAGTTGCATCCAGTGTTGTCAACTGATTCATTACCACCTCTGCTGTCACCTCTATATCTGGCAGTCTTTCATCTAGGGGTAATCTCTTCTAACAATGGGAGCTGCTCAGGCTCGGTTGTAAACACTCCATGAAAACTGGCATTCAGTGCCTCGCAGATTCCCTTGTCATTTCTGTATATGCCCTCTCTATTTTCCTTAGTCTTGTCACTTAATCGTTCACCGACATTTTTCTTCTTGTATCACTGACACGCATCTCCTGTACTTAAAAAAATAATTAGGCTAAGACTTGTTGCACACCTAGTGAACATTAGTTTTGTAAGCAAACACAAACATGGGTTCAGGGTAGGAAAATCATGGCTAACAAACCTTCTGGAATTGCATGATAAAATAACAAGAATAAGGCAGGACAGGGAAGGATGGGCAAACTGCATTTTCTGAACTGCCAAAAAATCTTTGATGCAGTATCGCACAGGAGACTGCTATTCAAATTTGAGAGGCAAGCTGTAGTAAGCAGAAAGGCCCTAGCAGGATTAAGGAATTACCTAACAGGAAGGAACCAGAGAGTAACGGTAGAGGGCGAGAAGTCTGACTGGCGAACAGTAACGAGTGGAGTATCTCAAGGATCGGTGCTGGGATCAGTTATATTTTTAATATACATAAATGACATGTTTACAGATGTAGAGTCCTATATGTCAATGTCACTGCCTGCGTGAGACCAGTCTTGGAGTTTGCCACCCCCATCATGGAAGCCCCAACCTAAAGCAACATATACGGAAACGGGAAAAGGTTCAGAAATTTGCGACGAGGCTCGTCCCAGAGTTACGAGGGATGAGTTATGAAGAGCGCCTGTACAAAATGAACCTGACGACTCAAAAAAAAGAAGGAATATGGGGGGGGGGTGTGATATGATAAGAACATATAAAATACTCGGAAGGATTGACAGAGTGGAAATAGACAAAATGTTCACGCTGAGTATTAACAGAATAAGGGAACATCGGTGGAAACTGGAAACTCAGATGTGTCACAGAGATATTTGGAAGTTTTCTTTTAGCGAGAGTAGTGGATTACGATGGTTCTCCTCGATTACTAACAATTCCGGTTCCCAGATTAGCAGGATTACAGAAAGGACACATGACCATATTTCCGTAGAAGACTTTACCGCAGGTACATCTGCTGTCGGGATTAGGGATGACCTGGTCAGGCGGTCAAGAAGAATAAGAGAACAGGACCCAGGTTAACAGCCTCATTAGACGTTGAGATGTAAGTCTCGTCCTAATCACTCACTCAGACCTTGATAAAACACTCAGAAGAGTGCGAAAGACTTGGCATAAGTTCCATACATAAATTTCACATATACACAACTGTGGGTTTTTACCCAAAAAAATATTTTGGCCAGTCCTCGTGGTGTAGTTGTAAAACATTCACCCGGCGCTTTGGCCTGGGTTCGTATCCTGGCCGGGGAAGATTGACTGGGCACCAATCCTCTGTTCACCCAGCAGTGAATGAGTACCTGATTGTTAAACGATTTTGTGGGTAGTATTTCGGGGAAAATTAGGCATAAGGACCTGCCCGTAACGCTGTGTGTGCTTGTGGCTTTACAAGAATGTAAGAACTCTTGAATATAAATAAACAAAAAATAATAATAATTAATTGTGTCGGGGGACTGACGGCCAGTGTACATTATGAATGGTCCCCTTGTATATGTCAGAAACACCCATTAAAACTAACAATAACACCACACTAATGTTCACTAACACCTCCACCTATGGAGAGTCACCCTCTAATGATGTAACTATGGAGAGAGGGGCTCTCCGTCATATTGTTTGGGGAATGGGCTCAGAACCGGCCCATTATCATGAGTACACACCCCACGGAGCCGATATTACTTACCCCTCTCTCTCCTTGCTTTGGGATGATCTTCTTCTAGTTCCTCTTCATGATATTATGTCTGCTGTCGACCGACCTGCAATTGTTTCTCTCTCCCTCCTTTTAGAAATTCTCATCAGGACAAGTGCAAAACAAGTTGTCTACAGACAAGCATTTATTACAACAATACAAAGAGTGAAATATATCAGCATAGTATCATCAGGTCCAACTATCTAGCACCACATCACACCTATATAGTATTAATGCTCCAACAAATAAACTACGCTATCCTGCTGTTTAATCTTTACCAGCAACCCCCGGCCTTCTCACCGTCTGGGCTAGGCAACTTGCATATAAATTAACTCAAACAAGATAAATATTAGCGTATCACCTTACACTGTAAGGTGATATATATGAACACAACTAATAACATATGAATTCATGCACTCCCTCAAACAATAATGGTGTCCATATATCTCTGTATTACGTCCTGAGGCCCACAAACAGGACTATCCATCAACGGGTCCTCAAATTAGGTAGGTACTCCTGCACTCTTCTCAATATTACTGCTGCTTTCGTTGTTACGTCGAACAACGACGAAACACGTCCTCCAAGTACCACTGCTACATGAAGTTCCACCATATATATGAAGTTCCTCTGTCATAATTACATATTCTCGTATCAAACTCAAATAATATTTATATACAGAATAGATTCCACCGCACATTGCCCTATCCCCTGCCCCGACTGTACTGAAATGCGTACTCCCCCACAATGGACGAGTCCACAGGGGGCTCCCACCCCTCAGTCGTACACTGCACTCGTCTGCGAGAGCATATGTCGCTTCCGCCTCCGTAATAGCAAATCATCTCAAACTCATTACATCCTCTCATTATTTTCACCAACTCTCTAACCTACATTCAATAACCTCCTATAAGATCACTGGGCACACGATCAAACTATAACAAGCTATACATGACAGAATATTGTGTTCTTGCCGCAAAAGGATGTCGTGTCGACGCCTGTCAAACGACGCACAAATATGGCGCCCAACCTGTCGTCCACAAATTTCTCTGGGACATGATACTATCGGCTTCTTCTCGTCCTGTCTTGAGCATGAGAAGTGACGTAACAGGTGCCACACAGGAACACCTGCCCAATTATCCCCTTAAAGGATTTACACACACAATCGGGTCCACGAAGGCACGACCACCCAATAGACTTCAGGTCGCCCATATATAGTTACCACCATAACAAAGATACGTTACACGCCATCCTCCAACAGCTTCCTCACACGTTGTTCGTGTAGTTCCTCACCAATTCTTCACCATGAGCTACAAACTTCCTTCTTCGTTAGGAGGCAACTACGTACGTCTGTCTCCGTCGAATCTCACGACTCAAGTGAGGCTCTCTGCTTTCCTTCTCTTCAATCACAATTACTGACGTTGTTTAGTTTAATTCATTTACCTGGGTCCTATATCTGGTCAGGTGCACAATAACTCTCACAAATGCAGGACTACCTCATTAGGCTACCTGGAGGTTCATAACAACATATACTGTAAGGGTTATATAGAGGTCCCCTCCCCCCCCCCCCCCACCCAAAAACAAATTATCGGCCCTCTCCAGGATGCATCCCCATAACATGCTGACTAACTCTTGGGTACTTATTTATTGCTAAGTAAAAAGGATAGGAAACGCACCCAACCATTTCCGTCCCTCCCAGGATTTGAATCGAGAATTCCTGAGTGTGGGTGGAAATGAAACCCGACTGTACGAACTCTTTATCTCGATAATTATCTTACCAATTACCATCTCACTGAACGCATGGCTGTGGGCACGTCCAGCACTTCGGGTCAGTGATGGCCGAGGAGGACGTGTCGTCACCCACCGCCTCCCTCTACACCTGCTGTCGCCGCCCGCCCCGCGAGCGCTCCGGGATCTCCTCCCTTAGTCAACACACCGACAAGTTTACCGTGAGTATCCTATACCGTTTTCTCCGGTATGAGCTGGCTACTTGAAGACTCTGTAGAAGCGGTTTGTGCGTAGCATGTGACTCCCGTACAGTAGTTGTGGTGTGTAGTATGTAGCTCACGTCCAGAAGATGTGTTGTGTAGTATGTGGCTCACGTCTAGTAATTGTGGTCTGTAGTATGTGGCTCACGTCCAGTAGTTGTGTAGTATGTGGCTCACGTCCAGTAGTCCTGTGAAGTATGTAGCTCCCATCCAGTAGTCGTTGTATGTTGTATGTGGCTCACGTCCAGTAGTTCTGTATAGTATGTGGCACAAGTCCAGCAGTTGTGCAGTATGTGGCTCAATCCAATAATCACAGTCTGTCCAGCAGTTAGGCTCGTCTAGGCGACGCCCACCCTAATGGAAGCATTCATCAACATTGTCTGCAAAATCAAATATTTTCTCAAATATAAATTAATATTACATAATAGAATTTTGTCTGTAGTTAGGTGACGTATGCATTTAAAGAGATGCGATTCGGAAGCAGAGGGCGTCAGTGAACTACTGTTCGAGAATTATTTGAACATCATCAGTCGTGAGTCGTGTTCAAAGCGTTTTTGTCTTGACAACAGATGTCGCTGGACGTTCAGCAGTTCAAGCCGGAGGAGCTGAAGGTTCGTGTGGTGGAAGGCGTCGTGGAGGTGGAGGGTAAACACGAAGAGAGGCAAGACGAACATGGATCCATCTCCAGGCACTTCGTCAGGTGAGTGGGATACCCGGATCCATCTCCAGGTCCTTCGTCAGGTGAGTGGGATACCCGGATACATCTCCAGGTCCTTCGTCAGGTGAGTGGGATACCCGGATACATCTCCAGGTCCTTCGTCAGGTGAGTGGGATACCCGGATACATCTCCAGGTCCTTCGTCAGGTGAGTGGGATACCCGGATCCATCTCCAGGTCCTTCGTCAGGTGAGTGGGATACCCGGATACATCTCCAGGTCCTTCGTCAGATGAGTGGGATACCTGGATACATCTTCAGGTTCCTCGTGTGTGATCCACCCTCACAGGCTCTAGCCCCACGATGGGCGCCAGATGTGAAGGAACTGGTTATAATGAGATGTGGATTCGAATATTTGCCTTCGACAAACAAAGGAATACAATCCGGAGGTGTGACCAAGACGCCAAGGTCTAGGTATTCCAGGTGGAGATGAAGGCCAGGAAGGTCTTTTACTTCACCACACGCAATACCAGACCTTACACACTTAGGTCCTTTGCTCTGCAACTTGCTTGCAAGCAAATCTAACAGGTAGCGGACAGGTCCTCACACCGAATCTTATATTCAGTGATTGAGGCTCTGGGCTGGATCCCGAGCCAACTCAAATTAATGACAATGTCAACTAGCAATTTAGATGAATAATGGTGGCAGTACTTCAAAATGAGAAATGACGTCAAAGGGATGTGTAACAAAATAAATGAATTTATTCAACAATTTAGTTACTAGTACACAGTGACTCACATTCGTTATGTACTCAAGAGCCTGTCACCTTAACAACTGTCAAAACACCTCCCTGCAGCTTCGAGGCTGCGAGGGGCTTCACAGCTCACAGCAAATACACAGTTTCAAATGTAGATATGATAGAGCCCAGTAGGCTCAGGAATCTGTACATCAGTTGATTGACAGTTGAGAGGCGGGGCCAAAGAGCCAGAGCTCAACACATATAGTTGAGAGGCGGGACCAAAGAGCCAGAGCTCAACCCCCGTAAGCACAATTAGATAACTACACACACACAAACACACTCACGCACATTAAGTATTTGTTTCTAATTTAAATTAGAAACATTAAAACGTAATTTGTATGTTTGCTTAAAATTTCTACGATTTAATTGACTGAAATCAACGTATTTTATATGGTAAAAAGACGACTTTATATTAATAGTTACAATGTCACCTTTCTGCTTCCAAATATAAACGTCAAAAAACTTGTATTTACTTGGTTGTCACTGTGAGTGTTGCATGTGTTGCAGGGCGATGTATATAGTCACTGTGGGTGTTGCATGTGTTGCAGGGCGATGTATATAGTCACTGTGGGTGTTGCATGTGTTGCAGGGCGATGTATATAGTCACTGAGGGTGTTGCATGTGTTGCAGGGCGATGTATAAAGACACTGTGAGTGTTGCATGTGTTGCAGGGCGATGTATAAAGACACTGTGAGTGTTGCATGTGTTGCAGGGCGATGTATAAAGACACTGTGAGTGTTGCAAGGCGATGTATAAAGACACTGTGAGTGTTGCAAGGCGATGTATAAAGACACTGTGAGTGTTGCATGTGTTGCAGGGCGATGTATATAGTCACTGTGGGTGTTGCATGTGTTGCAGGGCGATGTATATAGTCACTGTGGGTGTTGCATGTGTTGCAGGGCGATGTATAAAGACACTGTGGGTGTTGCATGTGTTGCAGGGCGGTGTATAAAGACACTGTGAGTGTTGCATGTGTTGCAGGGCGATGTATAAAGACACTGTCGGTGTTGCACGTGTTGCAGGGCGATGTATAAAGACACTGTGGGTGTTGCATGTGTTGCAGGGTGATGTATAAAGACACTGTGGGTGTTGCAGGGCGATGTATAATACTGCAGGGCGATGCATATAGACACAGTGGGGTGTTGCATGTGTTGCAGGGCAATGTATATAATCAATGTGGGTGTTGCAGGGCAATGTATATAATCAATGTGGGTGTTGCAGGGCAATGTATATAATCAATGTGGGTGTTGCAGGGCAATGTATATAATCAATGTGGGTGTTGCAGGGCAATGTATATAATCAACGTGGGTGTTGCAGGACAATGTACATAGGTATCATGAGTTTTTCCCGATGTTGAAATGCGTTAAACCGAGTGTTTCTACTTACAGGAAGTACACGCTGCCTGAGAACGTCCTGGTCGACATGGTGGCGTCCTCCCTCTCTCCTGATGGTGTTCTCACCATCGAGGCCCCGAAAAAGGTTCCTGGTTATAGTGCATGGTTGTTCCCTTATTGTAGACAACTTCTGGCTATAGTGCATGGTTGTTCCCTTATTGTAGACAACTTCTGGCTATAGTGCATGGTTGTTCCCTTATTGTAGACAACTTCTGGCTATAGTGCATGGTTGTTCCCTTATTGTAGACAACTTCTGGCTATAGTGCATGGTTGTTCCCTTATTGTAGACAACTTCTGGCTATAGTGCATGGTTGTTCCCTTATTGTAGACAACTTCTGGCTATAGTGCATGGTTGTTCCCTTATTGTAGACAACTTCTGGCTATAGTGCATGGTTGTTCCCTTATTGTAGACAACTTCTGGCTATAGTGCATGGTTGTTCCCTTATTGTAGACAACTTCTGGCTATAGTGCATGGTTGTTCCCTTATTGTAGACAACTTCTGGCTATAGTGCATGGTTGTTCCCTTATTGTAGACAACTTCTGGCTATAGTGCATGGTTGTTCCCTTATTGTAGACAACTTCTGGCTATAGTGCATGGTTGTTCCCTTATTGTAGACAACTTCTGGCTATAGTGCATGGTTGTTCCCTTATTGTAGACAACTTCTGGCTATAGTGCATGGTTGTTCCCTTATTGTAGACAACTTCTGGCTATAGTGCATGGTTGTTCCCTTATTGTAGACAACTTCTGGCTATAGTGCATGGTTGTTCCCTTATTGTAGACAACTTCTGGCTATAGTGCATGGTTGTTCCCTTATTGTAGACAACTTCTGGCTATAGTGCATGGTTGTTCCCTTATTGTAGACAACTTCTGGCTATAGTGCATGGTTGTTCCCTTATTGTAGACTACTTCTGGCTATAGTGCATGGTTGTTCCCTTATTGTAGACAACTTCTGGCTATAGTGCATGGTTGTTCCCTTATTGTAGACAACTTCTGGCTGGCTATAGTGCTATAGTGGTTGTTCCCTTATTGTAGACAACTTCTGGCTATAGTGCATGGTTGTTCCCTTATTGTAGACAACTTCTGGCTATAGTGCATGGTTGTTCCCTTATTGTAGACAACTTCTGGCTATAGTGCATGGTTGTTCCCTTATTGTAGACAACTTCTGGCTATAGTGCATGGTTGTTCCCTTATTGTAGACAACTTCTGGCTATAGTGCATGGTTGTTCCCTTATTGTAGACAACTTCTGGCTATAGTGCATGGTTGTTCCCTTATTGTAGACAACTTCTGGCTATAGTGCATGGTTGTTCCCTTATTGTAGACAACTTCTGGCTATAGTGCATGGTTGTTCCCTTATTGTAGACAACTTCTGGCTATAGTGCATGGTTGTTCCCTTATTGTAGACAACTTCTGGCTATAGTGCATGGTTGTTCCCTTATTGTAGACAACTTCTGGCTATAGTGCATGGTTGTTCCCTTATTGTAGACAACTTCTGGCTATAGTGCATGGTTGTTCCCTTATTGTAGACAACTTCTGGCTATAGTGCATGGTTGTTCCCTTATTGTAGACAACTTCTGGCTATAGTGCATGGTTGTTCCCTTATTGTAGACAACTTCTGGCTATAGTGCATGGTTGTTCCCTTATTGTAGACAACTTCTGGCTATAGTGCATGGTTGTTCCCTTATTGTAGACAACTTCTGGCTATAGTGCATGGTTGTTCCCTTATTGTAGACAACTTCTGGCTATAGTGCATGGTTGTTCCCTTATTGTAGACAACTTCTGGCTATAGTGCATGGTTGTTCCCTTATTGTAGACAACTTCTGGCTATAGTGCATGGTTGTTCCCTTATTGTAGACAACTTCTGGCTATAGTGCATGGTTGTTCCCTTATTGTAGACAACTTCTGGCTATAGTGCATGGTTGTTCCCTTATTGTAGACAACTTCTGGCTATAGTGCATGGTTGTTCCCTTATTGTAGACAACTTCTGGCTATAGTGCATGGTTGTTCCCTTATTGTAGACAACTTCTGGCTATAGTGCATGGTTGTTCCCTTATTGTAGACAACTTCTGGCTATAGTGCATGGTTGTTCCCTTATTGTAGACAACTTCTGGCTATAGTGCATGGTTGTTCCCTTATTGTAGACAACTTCTGGCTATAGTGCATGGTTGTTCCCTTATTGTAGACAACTTCTGGCTATAGTGCATGGTTGTTCCCTTATTGTAGACAACTTCTGGCTATAGTGCATGGTTGTTCCCTTATTGTAGACAACTTCTGGCTATAGTGCATGGTTGTTCCCTTATTGTAGACAACTTCTGGCTATAGTGCATGGTTGTTCCCTTATTGTAGACAACTTCTGGCTATAGTGCATGGTTGTTCCCTTATTGTAGACAACTTCTGGCTATAGTGCATGGTTGTTCCCTTATTGTAGACAACTTCTGGCTATAGTGCATGGTTGTTCCCTTATTGTAGACAACTTCTGGCTCTGGCTATAGTGCATGGTTGTTCCCTTATTGTAGACAACTTCTGGCTATAGTGCATGGTTGTTCCCTTATTGTAGACAACTTCTGGCTATAGTGCATGGTTGTTCCCTTATTGTAGACAACTTCTGGCTATAGTGCATGGTTGTTCCCTTATTGTAGACAACTTCTGGCTATAGTGCATGGTTGTTCCCTTATTGTAGACAACTTCTGGCTATAGTGCATGGTTGTTCCCTTATTGTAGACAACTTCTGGCTATAGTGCATGGTTGTTCCCTTATTGTAGACAACTTCTGGCTATAGTGCATGGTTGTTCCCTTATTGTAGACAACTTCTGGCTATAGTGCATGGTTGTTCCCTTATTGTAGACAACTTCTGGCTATAGTGCATGGTTGTTCCCTTATTGTAGACAACTTCTGGCTATAGTGCATGGTTGTTCCCTTATTGTAGACAACTTCTGGCTATAGTGCATGGTTGTTCCCTTATTGTAGACAACTTCTGGCTATAGTGCATGGTTGTTCCCTTATTGTAGACAACTTCTGGCTATAGTGCATGGTTGTTCCCTTATTGTAGACAACTTCTGGCTATAGTGCATGGTTGTTCCCTTATTGTAGACAACTTCTGGCTATAGTGCATGGTTGTTCCCTTATTGTAGACAACTTCTGGCTATAGTGCATGGTTGTTCCCTTATTGTAGACAACTTCTGGCTATAGTGCATGGTTGTTCCCTTATTGTAGACAACTTCTGGCTATAGTGCATGGTTGTTCCCTTATTGTAGACAACTTCTGGCTATAGTGCATGGTTGTTCCCTTATTGTAGACAACTTCTGGCTGGTTCCCTATTGTAGACAACTTCTGGCATGGTTGTTCCCTTATTGTAGACAACTTCTGGCTATAGTGCATGGTTGTTCCCTTATTGTAGACAACTTCTGGCTATAGTGCATGGTTGTTCCCTTATTGTAGACAACTTCTGGCTATAGTGCATGGTTGTTCCCTTATTGTAGACAACTTCTGGCTATAGTGCATGGTTGTTCCCTTATTGTAGACAACTTCTGGCTATAGTGCATGGTTGTTCCCTTATTGTAGACAACTTCTGGCTATAGTGCATGGTTGTTCCCTTATTGTAGACAACTTCTGGCTATAGTGCATGGTTGTTCCCTTATTGTAGACAACTTCTGGCTATAGTGCATGGTTGTTCCCTTATTGTAGACAACTTCTGGCTATAGTGCATGGTTGTTCCCTTATTGTAGACAACTTCTGGCTATAGTGCTGGTTGTTCCCTTATTGTAGACAACTTCTGGCTAGTGCATGGTTGTTCCCTTATTGTAGACAACTTCTGGCTATAGTCTGGTTGTTCCCTTATTGTAGACAACTTCTGGCTATAGTGTGGTTGTTCCCTTATTGTAGACAACTTCTGGCTATAGTGCATGGTTGTTCCCTTATTGTAGACAACTTCTGGCTATAGTGCATGGTTGTTCCCTTATTGTAGACAACTTCTGGCTATAGTGCATGGTTGTTCCCTTATTGTAGACAACTTCTGGCTATAGTGCATGGTTGTTCCCTTATTGTAGACAACTTCTGGCTATAGTGCATGGTTGTTCCCTTATTGTAGACAACTTCTGGCTATAGTGCATGGTTGTTCCCTTATTGTAGACAACTTCTGGCTATAGTGCATGGTTGTTCCCTTATTGTAGACTTCTGGCTATAGTGCATGGTTGTTCCCTTATTGTAGACAACTTCTGGCTATAGTGCATGGTTGTTCCCTTATTGTAGACAACTTCTGGCTATAGTGCATGGTTGTTCCCTTATTGTAGACAACTTCTGGCTATAGTGCATGGTTGTTCCCTTATTGTAGACAACTTCTGGCTATAGTGCAATGGTTGTTCCCTTATTGTAGACAACTTCTGGCTATAGTGCATGGTTGTTCCCTTATTGTAGACAACTTCTGGCTATAGTGCATGGTTCCCTTATTGTAGACAACTTCCTATAGTGCATGGTTGTTCCCTTATGTAGACAACTTCTGGCTATAGTGCATGGTTGTTCCCTTATTGTAGACAACTTCTGGCTATAGTGCATGGTTGTTCCCTTATTGTAGACAACTTCTGGCTATTGCATGGTTGTTCCCTTATTGTAGACAACTTCTGGCTATAGTGCATGGTTGTTCCCTTATTGTAGACAACTTCTGGCTATAGTGCATGGTTGTTCCCTTATTGTAGACAACTTCTGGCTATAGTGCATGGTTGTTCCCTTATTGTAGACAACTTCTGGCTATAGTGCATGGTTGTTCCCTTATTGTAGACAACTTCTGGCTATAGTGCATGGTTGTTCCCTTATTGTAGACAACTTCTGGCTATAGTGCATGGTTGTTCCCTTATTGTAGACAACTTCTGGCTATAGTGCATGGTTGTTCCCTTATTGTAGACAACTTCTGGCTATAGTGCATGGTTGTTCCCTTATTGTAGACAACTTCTGGCTATAGTGCATGGTTGTTCCCTTATTGTAGACAACTTCTGGCTATAGTGCATGGTTGTTCCCTTATTGTAGACAACTTCTGGCTATAGTGCATGGTTGTTCCCTTATTGTAGACAACTTCTGGCTATAGTGCATGGTTGTTCCCTTATTGTAGACAAC